GGTTCTACAGCGGAGATCAGGGTGTGAAACTGGGTTGCAGCATTTTGGGATCGGATCGGGCCCCCTCCCTGCCCCGGGCACCTCACCAGGAGCGGGATCTCTCCCGCAGCCTCCGCGCTGGGGGTTTGAGCGAGGTTTCAGCCCGGGGGTGACAGGTTTCAGCCTGGGGGTGTGAGCAGCGGCCGAGCCCCAACCACACCCCGCTCCCCTTGGGCTGGGCGTGCTGGTCGGGGGGCACTGAAGCTGGGAAGCAGAGGGGGAAGGGAGCTCAGCAGGGAGGGGTTTCCCTCTTGGAGGAGCCTCCAAACACCTCGAACGGCATCTTCATCCAGCAAGGAGGAGTGGGGCTGGCAGCCCACCACCCACCTCCCGCCCAGCCGGCAGCACCCCCGGGGATGGACCCCATCCATCCTCCCCGTTTTGGATCTGGTGGGCGATCTCCGCATTTTATCCTCCAGCCAGGGCACGGACGCCGCATGAGGGCTGGGAGAAGGGTTTCTGTAGCATGAAATGCATCCGGGTCCCCCCCGCAATCCCAGGGAAAAATGAGGATTTGGGGTGGTAACGCAAGAGGCGGGGAGGCACGAGCAAGAATAACGCTTCCAGCTGCCTGCCTGCACGCAGGCAGACTCCAGCCGGGCTGTCAGAGCTCCGGGCACAGCCTCATGTTGGCACACGAGCCATCAGAGCATCCCCGCCCTGCCTTGGCCCCGCGCTTGGCAAGAGCCGTTTAGGGCAAAAACCCTTCAGCCAGGCGAGGAGGAAAGCCCTTGGTGGGGGGTATGTCTCTGGGTAACCCCCAAACCCGACCAACCCTGGCTCCAGGGGTCACCTAGAAGAGGGGAGCATCTCTGGGGAAGGTGTCCCCGGCGGGGTGTCCCCACATTTTGTCCCTATTCCCCCCCCACCCCCGGCAGCTGCGGGCAGGTTATTCGCGTGATTCCCGTGTCAGATCCCAGCAGGACGGGGGATGAGGGGTCGGGACTTCTCGGGGACCCCCCAGCTCAAGCTGGGTCGGGGTGTGTTGTGGCTGT